GGGTGGCTTTCCAAAATGCTGTGCAAATGGCCTTGTGAGTTTGAACTGCTGGGGAGAGAAAAGCTGGCAATGTGTGTCGGATGACTCTCAGCCCTTCTGCATTTTTATAGCTAGGCTTGCTATGAATGAGGCCGTTCTAGTCGTGCGGGGGGCCTAGTCATGCCTCTGCGTATGTAGCATAAGAAGTGGAGTCTCCTCCCATGACCCACAGCACGTTGTTCTTACCTGCCTTTTCCTCTGTGACATGCCTGCCTGCCTTCTCATCAGAGAGCCACAGGAGGGCCTTAAACCCCACGCAGATCCTTCTAGACCAAGGACCCATTGTTAAAAGCATGGATTCTGCCTGAGTTACTTCCCTTCTGAGAAATCATATCTCAAATACATAACCTGGTAATATAACTGGAAAAATAAAAGCAATTGCTCCTTCCTGCCCGCCTGACTTCTCCCTGAGCATGAGACAGCCCACTTCCTTGTAGGAGGGGATGGCTGGCTCTCTTCCTGTCTGGGTTGGATACACTGGAATAAATGAGTCAGAGAACACAGAGGTGATGTTTGGGACTGTTCCACAATATAAATTTGTTTTGACCACATGGGAGATTGGTAAGGACAATACCTGGCCGTGGAGAGTTTAGGAAAATGCTTGAGTTGTCATGGATTCCATGGCCTTTTGTTTCTGATGAATTCACTACAGGGTGACGCCCTCCAGGTGACCCAAGAGAGAAAACACTGGCCAGAGCTGAGTGGGGTGGGGTAGGGAGGGGTGTGGGGTAGGGTGGGGAAGATCATTCAAGCTAAAACTTAAGAAGTAGAGAAGCTGTAAGAAAGTGTCATTATCTAATGACGTGTCAAGCTGCTGGTGAGATTTCGTCACACGTATTTTATTTAAATCTTCTTTGTATTTGCCCTGGTATGAGATGGAGCCAGAAGTGTGTCACTAGTTCGATGATCAAGCCCTACCTCAAGATGGTTTCTAAGATGGTTTATTTTTGTACTATTTTTTGAACAAAGATTGAGACCCAGTCAAGAGTTGCTTTTGAAATTTTTCTTCTCCCATGCGCTCAGCTGCTCTCTCTAACAACAGAAAAAGGACCTCCAAACTACAGTCACAAGACTTCGTTGAAACATTATCCACAGACTTCCGTTTCTAAATGTAGCTATGCTGGGCCAGAAGCTTGCACACCACCCAGTCCCATGTGTACAACACCAGGCGGAAGAGTCCAAGGGTCTGGCCAGGTTCCTGAATGGGAGATGTCACAGCTGTGGGCTAGGGACAGGGGTGGTTCAGGGGGACAAGCCTCTCACATCCCAGAAGGTGAGGAGTGTTTGGGGAGTCTCCAGAGCAGGTAGCCTCTAAGCTGGTATATGATATGACTTTGATGTCAAATAGCCCGGTTTAAAGCAACGATTTCCATCACCAAGATCTGTCATCATCTAACCTGCTTCCCGCTGATGAAATCATGCACCCAGCCCCGGTCCCCACAGCACCAAAGTATAATTGGCTGACTGCTTAGGATGTGGATGATGGGTGCGGACGATGATGGCTGGGCATTTCTTGTGGATGATGTGGATGATGGGTCTTTTGTGGATGATGGCTGGGCACTTCTCCCTGTAGAGTGTCTTGTTCTCTATGTGCTCTTTCCCCACTGTCCTCTATGGAATCAACTTTTCTTTTGTCCTTTCAGAGCTCCACTCTACACTAAGAGTAGCTAGTAGTTAACCAGTATCCATTTGCACCCCTTTCCAGGTAATATAGTTTCATATTATTTGAGGGAGGGGCTTCAAGACTTTTTATCAGGCAAAGTTGCAAACATATGCAAAAGTAGAGAGAATAGTATAATGAACTCCGTGCCTGAATCAGTGGCTTCGACAATGAACACATGACCAACTTGTTTCGTTTACTATCACCCCACCTCATGATGATGTTGAAGTAGATCCAATCCTATCATTTCCTCTGAAAATATTTTAGAATGTATCTCTAAAAGATAACTTTAAAAAAAAGGATAACCAAAATACCATTCACATCTAAAACATTAATGCCTTAATACCTTTAAATATTCAGCCATTGTTGACATTTCTCTGAGTGGCTTATATTTTTTTGTTTACTTGCAGTAGGTCTATGCACTGTAATTTTTTGATATGCCTTTTAAGTCTTTTTTAAATCTGTAGCAGTGGAATTTACACTTCAGCATATTCTGGAATAATCTGAAGGTTTGTTGGAAGACAAAATATTAGGTCATTTATATTGTAGAATTTCTCATAGTATGAGTCTTTCTGAGTGCATCTCTATTTCTTACAAATCTAGAGAGTTAGATTCTAGTTAGGTTTATTTTGGCAAGACTACTTCATTGGTGGTGACAGATCCTTCTAGTAGGAGGTTAGCACCCACTGATTGCACAGATCCATTACTTCTGTAGTGGTTGCAATTAATATTCCAGTGCTATTGATTTTTTCTTTGTTTATTAGCTGACCTACTTTATAAGGAGAAACTTACTCTCATCAGTTATGGTTACCCTGAGATTTGGTTGTATGAGAAAAGTAGGATTGATTCTTGGCTTTCCTCCCTTTATTTTTCAGTTTTCAAAATGAGGTGGTTCACAGGCATCTTTCCAATATGCCCTGTGAGAGTTGTTTTCTTCTTTGAGTACATTATGAACTCATGGTTGAAACATACCTGATGTTATCATGTGTGTTATCATCTGTATTAATAGTAATTACAGTTACTGTCTTTGTTTTTGCTCCAATTGTTCTATCTTTGGTTCTTGGGAGCTGCTTCAAGGTGGCTGATTCCTTTTGACATGACCCTAGTAGTCTTTAATAGTTTCCTGATTATCTTGTATGATAAGATTTTCATCTTGTATATTTTCTGCCCCAGCCCTGAAATCAGCTGTTTTCCCTCAACAATCCCTGGTTCCTTCTAGTGGGGAATGGTAATTAGATATCAAGATCTGGGTGCTCAGAGTGCTCATTGGTAGCGGTTACATCATCGTATCTTGGCTTTAGTGGCTAGAGCTAGGAAATATGTATTATTAGTATTTTTTAAAGATAAAACACTACATGAGTTCATGCTGATACTTCCAATTTAATTCAGGACTACTGTGGGTTTTTTGTTGTGTTAAGGGGAGAATTGGCATAGGGACAGGGTCTCTCTGTGTCACTCAGGGTGGAGTGCAGTGGTACAATCATAGCTCACTGCAACCTCAAATTCCTGGACTCAAGCAATCCTTCCACCTCAGCCTCTGAGTAGCTGGGACTACAGGTCCATGCCATTACACCCAGCAAATTTTTATTTTTCATAGTGTTTTAATTTTATTTTATTTTATTTTTGAGACAGAGTCTAGCTCTATTGCCCAGGCTGGAGTGCAGTGGTGCAATCTTGGCTCACTGCAACCTCTACCTCCCGGGTTCAAGCGATTCTCACGCCTCAGTCTCCTGAGTAGCTGGGATTACAGGCGTGCACCACCACACCCAGCTAATTTTTGTATTTTTAGTAGAGACAGGGTTTTGCCATGTTGGCTAGGCTGGTCTCAAACTCCTGTCCTCAAGTGGTCTGCCCGCCTCAGTCTCTCAAAGTGCTGGGATTACAGGCGTAGCCACCACGCCTGGCCTTGTTTTCATTTTTAATGCAACTTCATTGATCCTCTGTCTTTTCTCCTTCTCTGATTCTGAAAACCTCCTTCTAAACATCACCAAAATAACTACACATTTAAAAAAATTATTATAAGAACAATGCCAACCTTAACACACAAATGTGATAACTAAAAACAGTTAAAATTGTTTTTTTCTTCGATTCTTGTGTCCTCAACATTTATGCTATTAGGGACAGACAGTCAACTTGCTGTTGTAAAGTTACATGGAATGGTTCCCCTCTCTGTGGCATGCTCCA